CCGCCCCGCCAGGGTGGCCGCGCGCGGGGCGGGGTGGGGGGCGGACTCCGGCCACAGACGCCAGTGCGCCCAGGGACTTCTCTCCTAACTTACCTCACGTAAAAACGGAGACCCCGGGGGGTGGCCAAACTGGGTTCGATTCTGGGGAGCCCAGCCCGCGGACGGACCCGTTCTTCAACGCGGTGCCCGCTACATGCTGTTCCAGTCACTGGGGACACAAGCCAGCAGACAATTACCGCAAATTCGAGAAAGTGACAAGTGTCATCGGAACGGGAAAACGAGTGATAGAGAGAGAGCCGTAGGGCTACGAGGGTGGTGAGGGGAAGGTCCATCGGAGGAGGTGCCCAGGGCTGTGTCAGGGGTCGGCAGGGCAGAGGCCAACGGCACGAGGCGGCCTAACAAGTCTCGAGGGGCCCTCGCTCTAGGCCCCAGTGGGTATAAAGGGTGCTGTGCTCTCAGACCTGAGGTCCTCCAGGCGCCCCAGAGCGCCCAGTACGGAGGCAGGGAGGGAGGGAGGGGAGAGGAAAGGCGAGAGATGCCCGGTGCGCTCGGATTTCTGGGTTTAGAGCGGTGGGCTCAGCGAGCACCCAGAGCTGCCGTCTGGGATGGGGGCAGTTAACTGTGAACTTGAGGGCCCCGGGCTGTCAAACGAAGAGAAGGGAAAGCGGGGATGCAGGGGCTGAGGTCAGTGGGAGATGCCGGAGCAGTCCCCAGGGGAGCAGGGCCGGGGCCCCTCCCAGAGGGCAAAGGAAGGCCCCGGGGGAGGGCAGTGGGCCCGAAGAGCATCCATGAACCCAACCACCCTGCCTGCATGGCCAGAATCCCTTCCTGGGAGCTGGAGGGAGGCACAGCCGGCTGGACACCAGGGAAAGCTGCCGGAAGGTGGGGGCTGTGTCGCGGTGTGAAGGCAGTCCACACATCCTGTGACTGCGTGGAGACCTTGAAACAGCCTGTGCCCTTCCTTTCCCACTCCCCCACCACCCTCCCCCCTCACTGGAGAGCCTGATTCTGGACCGTTTCACGCAGCGCCCAGCCCTCCCAGCGCAGGGCGGCGCTGAATTGTAGAATGAGGCTGCTTCCAGGAATCGTGGAAGTCCTAATGTGGGACTGTGCGGCTGCCACGGACGCCGTTTCGCCGCCGCCACTTGGTGGCGCCATGTGTGATGGCCTCGGAGCTCCAAGGCGCCCAGTAAACCAGAGCAGCTGTGCCTGTGTGTTGGGGTGGGTTTCCAGGGACTTCTACCAGCCAGACTGGCCTTGCTCCCTTCATGGGACCTGCGGCCATTGGGGTCTGGGACCCATACTTCGTGGTTTGCGGATAAAGGGAGGAAGGAGTCTTATCCTGATAACCTCCATACTTTGCCTGGTTCTTGATGCCCGCTGGAGCTACCCCTTCTCTAGCTCACCCAGCTGCAGGCGCACCCTGAGAGCTGCAGTGACGAAGAGATGAAATGGCTCATCTTGGGCACCCCTCCCCTGTGTCTCCGTGATGAAAATCATGTCCTGCAATTCAGGTCCTTCACTTCCAAGATGGCACCCCTGGCTCTGGACACCCTCATCTATTGCATGATTTTGTCATTTTGGGAACCTTGTGCTGATGCTGCTATGGCATTAGGTAAGGCAACAGGTCCCTGAGCCCCTGCCTATAGGGACATCTCCATAAAAGTCATGTGTAAACACCCATCCTTGCTGACCATCTACTCAGAGACCTTTAAGGACACTGCTCAGACTCAGGCTGAGATCCAGACCTTTTCTGTCCTCTCTGGACTCCCTTGGGCCCACGGGTCCTCCCCAGCAGCTCCAGAGAACCCATACAAGCCAGAACACATTGATGGCGGTCCTACGGCTTACCAGGCACGATGCCAAGCTTCACTGGCATATTTAATCCCCACAGCGATGCTATGAGACAGGTCCAAGCACTATCTCAATGATAAATCTGGGGAAACTGAGGCACAGGGCGGTTTTGTTTGTTTTGATTTTTTACATCTCGTCTGAGGTGATGCGAATGGAGGGGGCAGACACTAGCCGTGGCTGCTGTGCTCTCCTTCCCTCTGCCCGTTGCACTCCCGCTGCTTCCCACCCTCCAGACGTCACCTGAGGGACTCCCCAACACAAAAGGTCTCCTCTCATACTTTTGCTGGGCTCAGGCCATCTGCCAAGTATGTGGAAAGTGCCCGTTTGAACACTGTTCAGGCAGGGCCCAGGGGTAGAGTGTGTCCTCACTGTATCCTGGGTGCCCCCAACTTCCCTAAAGCCTGAACCCCCACACTTTGCCCCTGCAGTTGTCTGACCTAAGTTCCCCAGGTTATAAATGACTCCTTATTGGTAACCAGCAAACCCCTCAGGATCCTTTGGTTGAAAGGAAAGGAAGGTTACCTGGTCAATCCTTCGCAGCGATGGGCGAATGGAGGAGAAACAAAAAATCTGAAGTAACTGGCCCTGAAAAGAGAGTTTGCTCCCCTGCCTTCAAGTCTTAAAATGGTGGTCCACAGGCATGCAACGGGGTGTTCTAGGAGGAGCCTTCTTTCTCAGTCCCCGGGAGCTAGTATCAGGGACTCTCGGCAAGAATGCAGACGTTGGTGCAGGGTGGGCTTGTGGGCACAGAACTGAGCCAGTGTGTGTGGCTGGGGTGGGGAGGGGTGACATGTAGGACATGAATAAGTGATGCACAAAGTCTTTTTCTGAAGACTTAGAGAATAATAATTAATTACTTTGGAGGGGGCTGACACATAGGTACCCTGGGCTCAAAGATGCAAGGTGAACAGGGGCTGAAGAACCCCCAGGCCCTGCTGGGATAATGCATTGAATGATATATTCTCATAATTAGAACTGTTATGGGGGTTAATGGAGGGTAGAGCCAAAAAGCTCTTGGCCCTGAGCTTGGCACACAGTACATGCTTCATAAATGGTGGCCATTTGGCCCTTTGCGTGGCAGACGGGTACGGTAGCCCACGCTCCCTCTCACCCAGGCTGCTCGGAGCCTCTTCCTGATGGGCACGCTGGTCTTCTTGGGACCTGCTGGGGAAGCACGTGGCAGGAGGACTTGGGGCGAGCGGAGGATGTGGGGTGGGGAAATGGGAGTTGGCTGCGGTCGGGGGCGCGTTCAGCACCCTGGACAGCGTCTTCCCGGCTCTGTTCACGGTGCCTCCTCCAGGCCTAGCTGGGTGGGTCCGCCCATCGTCCGCCCAGTGGGTTGGCGGGGCAGTCCGCAGTACCTTCCGGGCATGGTGGCCGTTGCCCCGCCAGCCGGTTGGGGGAGGGCGGCGCCGAGCAGATGGGCCGAGGACGCCCAGCCAGTTTGCTGCAGCAACGGCCACGCGGTGAGGAGGCGGGCCCAGCGGCTGCTGGGGCCAAAGCGGGCAGCGGAGCCGGCACCCACAACCGCCTGTCCCACAAGTGGGAACCGGAGCTGGAGCCAGTTAAAATGAAAATGAGTTCGGAGGGCTCCTGGGTTGCCCGGTCTTCTCTGGACCTCAGTTTCCCCATTCGAAACCGAGGAAGGGGAACCCTGGCCAGGCAGTCCAGTGGCCGAGGCCTAGACCAGCTTCGGCCAGCTCTCAGCGGCCAGGACCTGACCAAGCTGAGACCTCTCCCTGGGCCTCGGTTTCCCCTTCCTGCTCAGACCCTCCTGTCCGCAGAGCAACTGCCGGGGCGAATCTCTCCTGGTAGCAGAAACTCGAGTGCGAGCTCCCTGAGTCTTGGGTCTTGGTGGTCTGGCTGCCACCGGGTCCCCTGCCTGAGCCTAGGGCGGAGTTCAGAGGAGGCGCTGAACAAGGAGGGACCGCAGCCTGAGCAAGGCGAGGTCTGGCGTCACGCATGCGCCTCCTGCCCGCCGGGACAGGGCTGCGATGGCACACACACACACCCCTGCAGGCGCTCGGGTGGGGGGGTGCCCTGGGCCTGCGACCCCACTGCAGATGGGACGCGGAGGCCTGGAGCGAGATCCCTGGGGCTCTGCCGACCCGCTCCCAGCTCCAGCACGCGCAGGAACAAAGCGGAGAGGTGGGACCCGCAGGCGGCCTGACTCTGCGGGGCGGGGCGGGGCGGGGCGGGGCGGGGCGGGGTGTGCTTCCATGTGTCCACGGGCACAGGACAGGCGCCTGGCCGGCTGCGGCGGTCCGCGTGGGGCTCCGCTCAGCTCTGCAGCTTCATCCAGGGGTTTCAGATCCCAGACTCGAGTCTCTGCTCTGCGTGGAGGCGGGCGCGCGTCTCTCACGCACCCGGCCCGCAGCGGCGCCGCTTCGCCACGGAGCATGGGGCTGCCTCGGAGGGCGGGAGATGCGGCAGAACTTCGTAAGGTAGGAGCTGGGGACTGCGACTGGGGCGGAGCGCCCGGGGCTAGGGGCTAGATTGCGACTCGCTTTACCGCGGCCTTGGTGTCCGCCCGTAGAGCTTGAAGCCGCTGCTGGAGAAGCGCCGCCGCGCGCGCATCAACGAGAGCTTGAAGCAGCTCAAGGGACTCATCCTGCCGCTGCTGGGCAGGGAGGTGAGTGCCGGGGCACTGAGGGGCTGGGGTTGGGGGTCCTGGGACGCGGGGCGAGGAGGGCGGGCGGGCCGAGGTGCCTCTGCCCCAGGAACCGGCGAGGGGGCTCCGCGCGTCGCCCAAGGCAGAACCCCGATGCGTTTGGCCTGGAGCAGCCGACCCACCGTGGACCGTTGCGCGCCGAGCACCCAGCTTCTGGCAAGATCGCGGTGCTCAGGCAGCCTGCCAGAGATGTATCTTGGTTGTCCGTTTTTCTGTCACTCTCTCTTGGTGGCCGGGCGCAGAGCTCCCGCTACTCTAAGCTGGAGAAGGCGGATATCCTGGAAATGACCGTGCGCTTCCTGCAGGACCAGCCTGCGTCCTCCTGCCCCCGGGCAGCGCCCAGTGAGTGACTCCGCCCCAGCCCTGCCCCGCGCCCCCGGTCCCGCGCCTCACCCCACGCCTCACAGGCTTCTCCTCCCGCAGCGCCCCCGGACAGCTACCGCGAGGGCTACCGCGCCTGCCTGGAGCGACTGACCCGCGTGCTGCCAGCCTGCCGCGTCCTGGAGCCTGCCGTGAGCGCTCGCCTGTTGGAGCATCTGCGGCGGAGGGCGGCCGGCGCCACCCCTGACGGCGGGAGCGCTGGGGACTTTTGTGGCCCTCCCTCGCCCTCCCCGCCGCCCGCCCCCATGCCCTCGCCGCCTGCGCCACCTTGTCGCCCAGGCCTCTGGCGGCCGTGGTAGCCCCCTGGCGGGTCCACCAACCCTGCTGACTGAGAGGCACCTGGAGGCTGGACGGACTGAAGAAGCTCTTGGTGATGACTGCCATTCTCACCACGAGGGATCAGCCCAGCGCCCACAGCCAAAGCAACAGCCGATGTTTGGGATCTGGATGGAAGACCTGGGGGACTCAGCTCGAGGACATAAGGGAAGAGGCCCTGCCTCACTGCCAACTTGGGGTGTCTGGGGAAGGTGGCTGCAGTGGAGGATGAAACCCCACACCCTCTCTGTGGCTGGTGGCTCTAGGACTGGGCCAGCTGCTGAGACAGTCAACACACCTGCCCCAGCACTGGCACCAGCCCAAGGCCTGGGCTAGGAGCTCACCTGAGCCAGGTGCAGCCATCTGATCTGACTGGTCCCTGCCCTCCCAGCCCTTCTGGAACCTGCCTCCTTGACAGCTCTGCTTGGGAACCTCTGGGCACACAGAAGCAATGACCTGAGGGGCTCTGCAGGTGCGGGAGCCATCACCTACACTTCTGGGCTCGCCTGCCCGACACCTCCAGTTGGAGAGACTGGATGCAGCAGGGTCTCTGAGTCACTGGGGGGCGGGGACTTTGCTAGATGGTCTTGGGGTTTATTTCCTCCAGCATTAATTTAACCTGGTATATGCACCAGGTGAGGAAGGGGCGGGGAAAGAATGAGGGTGCCCTGTGGCCTCAAGGAGGCCAGCATAGAGAGGGGACCAGGACCCATGACGCATCAGCAGAAATTCAAGGCATAACAGCAGGCGAAAGACTAGGAAACACCTTTCCTCGTGTCGTCTTGCAAACTGCTCCCTGCTGCTCTTCGAGGGGGGTTCCTGCAAGCAACTCGTTCTTAAGACTTTTCTCTCTTCCCTGCAGAAGCCAGGAGAGCCTGTGAAGGCTCAGGGAGGGGCCCACAGATCCCAGTGGTGGGTGCCCAAGAGAAGGCAGTCATGTTCCCACCATTTCACAGGAGTGGGAGAGTGGGAGTGACCTCCCCGGTGCCTAGTCCAACAGCCTGAACGAAGGACCAGGGGCCTAGGGGCAAGAAGACAGAGCTGATGAGGGATGGAGGGTGTCACTAAACCCATGATGACCTTGGCAGTGATTTGATGGCAGGATGTGGGGAAGCTGTGCATGTTATTGAAGAAGTAACTGTTAAGATAACAGGGCGAGCCTCTAGCAAGGTGTCTTTTCTGGGCCCAGCTGGCTGGACTGTCAGCTCCTGGAGGGCAAGGCTGGGACTGAGGGCACCTCTATGTCCCCAAGGCACTAGGCACTCAGTGGGTCCTCAATAAACACGGTGGGCTAACGAACGGGTGATGTGACCAGACCCTGATATACTGTACCCTGGACAGCCTGGCTTTTGCCTCAACTCCCGCCCCTGGGGCCTGTGCTCCCAGCCAGTTTGGAAAGCAGGGAAGGTAGTTTCCGCTTGCTTTTGCCTGTTCCTGAGAATTCAAGTCAGCTGGCGACTACCCTGCTGAGATACAGGTAACCCGCAAGCCCACACTCACTGCACGTGAGCTGGAGTTTCTTCCTTGGGTCAAGAACTCCGCATCCGGCGTACACTGGGCTGGCTGCAGCGTGTCCCCATAAAAAAGAACTTTCAATACAGATTTAAACTCTGTGAGTACTGACCAACCACAGGCCCCTGTCTTTCCTGCAGCCGTATCTGTCACTTCTTGTTTCCAAGGCCCGTCTAGGTCCCAGGCTCTGTGACTCTCATTGACCTGACCCCAACCAAGCTATAAAATGCAAGCAGCCAGGGAGGGGACGCGTAGATAAGCCAGTGACTCACAGGGCCAGGCATTCTGGGCACCTGGGCCTGTCGGCCAGCCTGGTCGCCAGGAAGCTGGGACAGGCCCAGGCGGGTAAGGTTCCGGGCCTGAGGTGAGAAGCCAGCTTCCTAGCAGGGATGTGTAAGAGGTGCCCTGAGGTCACTGCGGGGCTTGTGAAACTGGACGCAGACACCCTCCTCCCAGCAGACACCCTCCTCCCAGCAGACACCCTCCTCCTGGCCCCGGTAGGCCCAGCCCCTATCTGACAGCCAAAGGTGAGCACGGGGCCACGTGGGCTTTTTCTCTGTGGAAGGGAGGCTACCTCATTCCGAGAGGATTTCATAATCCATAGCGAGGTCCACGCTGTGCCCAGTGGCCGGTCTCGCACCGCCCTTTCTGCCATGGCCCCATGACTGCCTCTAACTCTGTCTGGTCATCACGCTCGGTTGGCGTGTTCCTCATAAACCAGTGGGTGAAATGATCCAGTGACTCAAGGACAACCAGAGCACTGAGCTGTCTGGGAGACTCAGGCTGGGGCCGGGCCCCACCTGTCCCCTGGTACCAGTTAATTTGGAGAGGTCAAATCTCCTTGTCATGAGGGAGCATAAAGAGCAGGTTGCCAAGGAGGCCTCCCCTCACAAACATTTACAAATCGCTCTGCTCCGCCTGCGAAGCCCGGACTCTGTGGCTGAGTCCCCACTGGTTTATCTGGACAGGAGTGGAATGCACGCAGGCTGTGGGGAGGGGTCTGGAAAGATCCACCGCTCTGCAGAACCCTCCCTACCATGCTTTGGGGCGACCCCTCTGGAGACCATGGCAGGAGAGAGGGGCGCCTCCCCCATCACTTGTAGCCACCTCCTATTCTAAACATCAGGCCATATTTTCTTTTTCAAAATACGCCAGGTGGTTCCAGCTGTTCCAGAAAAGAACTAACCCAGCCAGTGGGGTTGTTTCCTTGGCTTTACATCTTGTCTGAGCTCCTCATCAGTGTGGCTGTGTCTCTGGGGTGCTGAGTGTGCGAGTGCGTGTGCGTGTGCATGTGTGTGTGTCACTGTGCAGCCAGGTGCTCGCCCTGCAGAGAGCTGCCCGGGCATGCGATGTCAGGGAGAAGCCAACCATCTACTGAGGAGTCGCAGTGAGCAACTAGTTTCAGTCTGGGTTTTGAGAGGCCCTGGCAAAGCCCCAGGTGCTTAAAACAGCCGTAATAAAATGTCGAATGGTTTCAGGAGCGTGGGAACAAGGCTAGAGGGCGCCCCAGAGGTCCACTGGCAGGCAGCAGGGAGCAGGGCTGGGTGGCTAGTCACAGGACCCGCCCCACTTGTGAAGGAGGTGTTCCCTGGCCTGGAGTTGAAATAGGGAGATTCTGAGTTGAATACGTGTCTGCTGCTGGTTTTGTTGTGGACGGTGGGCCCGAGAGCCATCTGTCTCGGGGTTCAGTATGTTAAAAACCTCGGGGTTCACAGAAGCAAATCTAAGCTGTGTGGGGACTACATTTTGAGGCCGTCTGTAAAAAAAAGAAAAAATATATATACACACACACACACACATACGTACATATATATAATTATGAGTATAGACTTATTATAAAAATGAATACTTGTTCAGAATGAAAATAAGTCACATCAAACCAGTGGCGCCCACAGACTGACGTGTCATCCTTTTGGGTTCTTTCTAAGCAATTTGCCAGACACACTTCCATAGAAATGCTTCCTGGTGGCAACCCTGGCCTCCTCCTCTCTGCTCCTAGAACATTCTACTTCTCCATGTCTAAACTCTGAGCAGCTCCAAGCTTACACCTCATCAGCCTCACAGAAAAGCCACCTCTGCCCCCAATGGATTCGTGATCTGCTCAACCGACAAGATAAATGCTTTCCATTCGCTTTGCTCCTTCATTACAGGCTCTACGTGAAAAGATACATGTTTTACACAAACGTTTTCATCATTTACGGCTTTTTTTTTCCTTTTACTCCTATCTGGGGAGCTCGTGAAATGGAGATTTCCAGGTGCCCCTCCAGGCGTTCTGATTGCCTGTGTCTGAGTGAACAGCCTCATCTTATTAACCCGAGGACAGGTTGATCTGTGCCAGCAAAGCCCCCGCATCTGG